ACTTTGCATAATATGCAACAATTTCCGAAAAGCATAAAAGCACCCATTACTTGAACTGCCAAGAGGTATTAGGCTTCGTCCCTAGAACTTAGGCCCCATAAAAAAATTATTAGTTTATCACCTCATCTTTTTTGGGGAAAATCTGATTTTTTCCCTTTTTTTCAATCAACATATTTTTATTTCAAACGGTCCTTTTTCCATCTTTTTTCACTTGAAAAGCTCAGGATTTCTTGAAAAAATATGTTTACTGGTACAACAAAAACCTCTTTTTTAAATATAAATTTGATTCCACTCTTATGACTTTTTATATATGTGGGGTCTTACTTGTCTCCTGTTGTAAATTTTTATACACCCCTAATAGCCCTCCACCTGTTGGGCAAATCCTGGCACCACCACTGGATGTGACCATTTCATGCTCTTCTCCCAAAGTTCATACAAGATATTTGAATTAAAGTAAAATAAAAGGAACAACAAAATCAATAATCAGTAAATACTAATACTATAAATATAACAATAATTACTCAAGTTTGTCTACAGTGTTTGTGTAAGATGCGATTGATATACAGAATTTGATAGATTTAATAATGGCCGTGTCCTGCATGCGGTAACTACAATATGGATTCTGGATCCAGGATGCAGTAAAGGTATGACTTGCATTACAGGATATTTCTAGACTTGCATTGCATTTGAAAAAAATAAATTTTCATAGATTCTATCTCTGTAGATAGAATTTGTCCGTCAGTCACATTTTTGGCCAGGTACTATATATATTACTGAAAGTTTCATTAAGAAACCCCTCTGACATTTATAATGCTGATGAACAGTTAGGCACAGTAAGTTATGATGTTTGACAAACACAGACCTGGATAGGGAGTGGCTACTGGAATCAGACATTTAATAACAAATAGGTCAACAAACAAATTAGCTGTTATTTGCTTGCACTTGTTGACCTTTGGGACTAATTTCTCTTCCTTCAAACAGCATTGCTCAAGCAAGTGCTGAATCAAGAGGATAGGCAGCACCAACAGATCAAATACTGCAGACATACACACTTCAGACAGGCTAGCTATCCAGTAGTTTAAAAGATAATTATACTGCTACCTAAAAACCTTAAGTAAGGCATACACCTTGGTGAAGTTCGGCAGCTAATGCAATTCAAGAGAGAATGAAAACGACGAGATGCGAGCAACAAATTGTTTTTAATGACAATCCGCTGAGCCTGCCTATTTTAGAATCTGCAAAATTCAGAGTCTACCAATTTTAAATGATTTGATAAGCATGTTGTAATTGGCCAGAAAAATCCTTTTGAATTTTAATGTTCAGTAGGCCTACTGTACATGCTTTTCAAATATTGATTTAGCTTATTATCCAAATACAGAGAGTAGGCCTACCAATAATTTGGAGCAGAGTAGAAAGTTAATGAATAATATGTTGTCCAAACATATTTTAATGAATACTTGAGAAATTTCTAAAGCATATCATAAACAAGGGTCAAAATATGTCAAATTGATATTTATATTAATCGGTTCGTCCATAATGATTAATGGTACTACTGTATACTGTACCTATTAATCTTCTGTATGGGGAGTAGATGCTTTACAGTTGCTAATATTTTTTGGATTTTTGTTTAATTAAGCAAAGTAAAATCACAAAACATAATTTATATACCATGTAAAATTAGAGGAGAAATTATACACCTTGTTTAGATTTAACTTAATTTTTGAAAAATCTTCAAAAGCATGTAAGTGGAAAATGAAATAAAAATTGATAGATTTCTGTAGAAGTTTATGTGTTTTTGCACTGTGAAGTAACTAAAAAAACCCCACACCAAAAAAAAAGAAAAGAATATGGGATAAGAAGCCTGGTTTTTTTCATTGAACACACCCTTAAAATATAATTGGAAGATCTATTTTAACAGGTAACTCAAACATAACAAATCTTTAGGTACATGTCTAAAATGTCTTATTTTCTAGCAAACATTGCAAATTCTAGACATTCTGTTAAACTTTTTTGACTAACGATGAATTTCATTTCACACAGTTTCGCCATAGTCAATATGGCTTCATCAGGCGAGTCTATTATTCTGTTGAACTTGATAAAGAAACCTTTAATATCTTCTAGATACAGTAATTGGCTGTAATTGAGAAATACCAATGTCATATGCAGAGAACTACAGTACAGAGAACGAGGTGTGTTTTAACTAGGTTACTTGCAGAGCTAACCTGCACAGCTTTCAAGGAAATGTTCACTTAAACTCAAAATGTCACTTTCTGTACTGAGCTTAGTTCAGGGTTAATCCTATGCCAAGTTTAGTTCACAAAAAGTGTAAAAAATTAGATTTTAAATATCAAGCTTCTAAATACTTTCACATTCCTTTAGTAGTGTAGAACTTTTGAGAAAGAAAAAAAAATAAATAAAGTGGTATTCTGTAAAGTACTGTATGTGAGTGTGGGAGGCGAAGAAAAATGGACAAATTTAATTACAAAATCTTATTGCTTGATTTTATTCAAGTTAGTCCTTTGCTTCATCAAGTGTCACATTTTAACCTTTGGAGGAAATAAGTGTTGACAAACAGTTCCTTGAGATGGCCCTCTAAATGATCAAACCTAAACAAGATTTTATAAGATGAAGGTTACAGTTTATACACATGGATAATATTGTTTATTTTTAAACATTCCATGGCTTTGTAATATTTTTCATATATTATTTATCTATTACAAACATTTGATGGCCCTGTAATATTGTACATATACAGTACTGTATTAATCCTAATGGGTGTAAAAGTACCTAAAGTTAAAATACAGGTAACAATTTTTAAATACACAGTATTACTATTAAAGCTACATTTTGTTTATTTGTAAACATTCCATGGCTTTGTAATATTTTTCATATATTATTTATCTATCACAAACATTCGATGGCCCTGTAATATTGTACATATACTGTATTAATCCTAATGGGTGTAAAAGTACCTAAAGTTAAAATACAGGTGACAATTTTTAAATACACAGTATTACGATTACAAATCCAATATTTAGATTGCTTACTTTTCTTCAATTTTTCAGCTTCAATTAAAAATGTTATTAAAAATAATGTCCTTGCTAAGTAACAGAGCCTAAGGTAGAAATAATAAAATTATAATTGATAAAATAAAATAATAAAATTAATCAGTTGTATTGAATCTTACAATTAAAGGTAGGCCTATATTATGTTGAGGTCTAAAAAACAAATTCAATATTTGGATTGTTCAGCTTTCAATTAGAAAAAAAACATTGTCCCCATAAGTATGCACTCGTGGACTACTGACATCACCATTGATTTGTGTAATTTAACCATTAAAGTCAGACTCTGGAGGAAAAAAATTTTTTGATATGTTGTAGAACTGATTTTTCTAAGACAGAAAAAAGTTGTTTGACAAAAAACTGGGGAACGGTGAATGAGATACAGATTTTTTAATATTTAAAAACTGGGGGAAAAAAGGGGCGTAACCACCCATTTTTACACCTTTTTCCCCCAGTTTTTAATTATCAACAATGAGTATGATTCTATAATGACCTTATAAAAATGTAGACTACTGTACTAATTGACAAAAATCAATTATACCCTGCACTAGACATTGTATTGTATGTTGTAGGATGAATTTCAGTTATTTTTATGTTGTGTTAGCTGTATGGTCTTGTTTAAATATGATTGATTGTATGCGCTCTGGGGTCGTCGAAGTAGAGTGCTTTATAAATGTCACATATTATTATTATTACAGTTATTTGAATTGGACTCTTATCTTATTGGTCGTTTAACTTCTCTACGCAAATGTCCTGATCCATTCATCTTTTCTTCCCATTCTTACTCAAACATTTCATTTTCAATAGTTTCTTACCGTGTTCTAAGTTTCTTAGGCAACCCAGCCCTGACCCCACTAATTAGGCTTTAATTTTAGTCAAGGCACAGTATCTCTCATAGCAGTATTGTAATTTGTTCCATGTAATGATTTACAAGTTTATTTTCATGTGTTGCGAAAGCAGGCAATGACTCAAAATGGCTCAAGTTGCAATAAATTGATTGATTAATTTGACTGTTTGAATTATTAATTGCTTGATTGATGAGATCTAGTTAAATAACAAATGACTGTTTGGTAGAAAGCCATCATTAAGATACAACAAAAACTGCAAAAAACTTTTTACAAAAAAATATTTATTTAGCATAGTCCATTCACATTCAATATCCTCAGGCTCCTAATAAAGAGTTGAGGGAGGTTACTAAAGCTGTAAATATATGATCATAAAATTACTGTGTTAGTGGAGACCTTTACAAATTTAAATAAAAGATGAAAACATCGGAATCGGAAAACAATAACACTACAAAATGAAATTGTATTCTGACAATGTGATATAGGATAGGTAGACTTATCTACATTATACATATATATTGTATCATATAATCATAATGTACTGAACTGTTTCAATAATCAAGGCCTAGGCACTTGCTAGGCCTAGCCTACATTTGAGTTGAATTGAATTGTTTTTAGGTACACACAAGAACCATGTCAGAAAAGTTCACACAAAGGTAAAATGAAAACGATTCATCCCCAAAACCAAGCCTAACAGACTTGTCAGTCAGACAGGAATCTGTGGTGAGACAAACTTGGCTAACCACATGGGACACACTGCAAATTAGCTAAGGCCTAGGCCTGGGCCTAGCCTCGTTTGCTTTTTGGTTAGACTAGGCCTAGGCCTAGATCCGAAACAGACATGAAGAGTCAAGACAGCACTCAATTAAGCACTTTTAAGCTGTACATAATACAGCGAACAACCAAAAATAAGCAACATAACATAAGCTCGGCCATTCCTCCAGCCTTAGATAAGCAACCATTGGATTGGTCTTGCCCGGAATTCAGCAAAATCTATCTCTCGATCAGTTTCTAGCTCCCGTCAACAGCAGCATTAAACACCACCACCACAGCAGGCAGGCGATGTATTCTGACTGACAAAATTTGGACTCACCTTGTAAACATCACCGTATGTTCCGCTACCAATTCGCTGCAAAAGATCGAAGTCATCGGTAGGATTCCTTCTGGATATCTCCGCACTTGGAGTTCCAGACATGATTGCTGTAACTTCTACCACTTAATGAAAAAAATACGATATTTCGGCATCAATCTGTTTTGGGCAAAGTCAAAAACACCGATACGCTATTTTCTATGCACTTCCTGTCTTGCGCATAAAAAGGGTTTCTTGAACCGATTGAGTGATGATCAGCTGGTTTCAAGTTATCGATAGATGGCGCTATTGTTATTTTGTGTTTGTGCTCAGACAGGTCTTAAGAATGAGGTTTTTCTTTCACTTTTATTTCCTTTCTTTCTTTATTCAATTTATTGCATCTCATCATGAACATCACATCATTACGTTTACTTTTTAGCTGTTGCTTATCATTTTTGTATCTCTACTGAGATCCGGCCATTGTTTCCCACAGCATTGTTGTTTTTCAGTATTTTGCCTTTTAATCTATATATATACTGTCTCTTATACACATCTAGATGTGTATAAGAGACAGGTGTGGGTAACTAATGACATTAAACGGACAGGATGCGACTCACAAAAACGATACTAAGAAATATATTAACTTACTTAAACCACTTAAAATGTTCAAACAATTTTAACAATGCTTAGGCTTAGGTATGATATGATACCTTAAATTAAATCTAAACATTAGTTTTTATGCTTACACGGTATGCTGATTTCGGCCTGGGGTGGGGTGGGGGGGGGGAGGTGCGAAAAAATGTGAATGCGTAACTTAATCCCCTGTCCAATTAAATCTTTTTTATTATTTTAACCCACATTTCCTACTTAAATTTGATTGATAGAAACGACACTTCGTCTAACTATAAACGCTTAATGGCAGTCGATTTTGGCATCTATTTTCTTAAAACGCATCACCTATTACAATAAGTTAATTTAAAACAAAAATATTATAGCATAAAAGCTTTCAGAAATATAGAGACATTCCTTTGGTTCTGAATTATAGAATGAACTGACAAGTGAAATCATTAGCTGCAAAAATTTACTTTTATTCAGAAAAAGAATATTTTTCTAGTATGTTGATGACAAAAATGTAAGTCTCATTACCGTTCATTTGATATAATTTTACACTATGCAGAAACATTGTATATGATATTATATTTTGCATGTTAAAATATTCCTTATTTATCATCTACAGTATATTTATTAATAATTTTTGTTAAGGGCTCATTGAGACAAGTTTCTGAATCGTAACTTACACTTTTTTATATTGTACACTAGCTATTATACGATTTGAATAAATGTTCAATCAATCAATATATAACTATAATTTTAATTAATATTTAATATATTTGATATAGGCATATAATATTTAAATTATGTAACAATTTTGTTTATCAACATTTAATTTCAATAATTTTAATTACAGCCCCTTTTAAAAAATATTTTATCTCTTTGCTTTTTGTAATTTGATGTTTGTTTGGTGTCCTTTTTTATGATTGGCTTGGTGTTGATATATTTTCTAGTTGTTTATGCCAGATTAAAGGAATTCAGTTTATGTATTTGTGAATAGACCAATAAAATTTATCTTATGTTATCCTATCTTATTTTATCTGATCTTAATCAATCAATCAATCAGTTTATTTCATTTGCATTAGTACATTACAGTACATGGTCATCGAGACTGAGTCCAACAATGCAAATTCAGAAGTCCCGGTAGGTCTAAGCTTAGCTTTGTATTAGGTACCGGTACCTTGCTATCTTAAATACAACTCAATTATATATTTTACATTAATTCATTTATTCTACACAGAACTACATTACGATAGAGGGCGATATTTTTCCAGCAAAGGATCCTTAAGAGAACGCTTAATTGTTGCAAGACGTAAAGACTGCTTAACTTGGTTTGGAAGGTCAAGCCAATATTTAAGACCAGTATGTTAAAAAATAGTTTTCTTGGACGGAGTTATTTGGAGAGGGGAGATGAAGAGATGAAGCTTCACGAGTTGAATGGTGGTTAACCTGAAAATAGGTGGCTACATAAATTCCTAAATCCTGTTTTTAGAATGTCAAAGGTTATTACTACCATTATTATTACTATTAATGAAGCATTTGTTATAATTTATTAATTAGATTCCATATGATGTTGAGCACGATAGGCATGAAGCTGCCTCTTTCCAACTTTCTTTTAACTAAAGAAAAATATTTGATATCATTTTAGTTTTCCATTGTAAATGTTTTGTTCTTTTGATAATAAAGAAATCAGCGGATGTACTGTAGGCCTACTGTAATTTTCTTTTTTTGATGATCAGTCAGTCAATCAATCAATCAATCAAAATAGTACTTTAAAATCATAATGGCTTTAACGTCGCTAGGGCAACAAGGCATAAGTGACAATATGATCTTCGTGTGCAGTTAATCAGCTTTGACTGGAGGGAAAATTTTGAACTTCTCTGTTTACTCATCGGATGTGCGGGGGCCGATCTTCCGAAATATTATCATTAGTGGTATTTTTGTGTTTTTCATTTCTTTAGGCATACACATGCACCAAGTATTGCCAAGCACAAGACATATTACACTGACAGGAATTGAGCCCGGGATGAGCCTGGACTGGTAGTGTCACAATTTTTAAAAATTTTTTCACTAATTGCATTCAGATTTGATATAATGTTGGAATGTTTCCAATTGGGTAAATGGCTGTGGGCGGACGTAATATATATGGTAGGCCCTATGTGATGTCATAATTATAAAAATGTTTCATTCCACCGTCTCATCACAGTGGACTTATACTGCACACATGCTTTGTCATAATATCTCCATTCGGCGTGCTGTCATTTTTGTGATTTGATTAATGACGAAAAGTTAAACCAAACGAAATTTGATTACCTGTACTTATTTGTATATTTGATTACGTCATTGATTTTAATTGGAAAATATTTTCCTCGACAGTTAACAGATGTAGGCCTTTATCATTTCTGTATTCTTTGCATGATCTAATGTGAAGTTTTATTGTATTTTATATATTTTTACCTTCCCCAGCCTGGGGGTATTTGTTGAATAAATTGAATTGAAATTGAATTGAATTGGACTCTATAGGCCTAACATAATATTAATGGGCATGTCCTCAGTGCTTCACGAGCCATAGTTTATCACTCCTGACAAAAAAGGTCTGTAAATCACGAGAATCTATGTTTTCTTTAGCAACTGCTAATTGGATTTTCCTTCATTTTTCTGTTTTATTGTTTTGGTTTTTTTAAAAGCTACGCTACAATGTCAAGTAACTTTTCTTGAGGGCGCTATAACTTATAAACAAGTACACATGGCCAGAGTGTGGCACGGTGGTGAGAATGAAATATACACAGTTAGTGGAATGATTCTGTAAAATTTGGTAGATTGTAATCTTAATATTTTTTCTATGATGCAGTCATTCCGTAGAAAATGTATTTTTGCATGTTCGTGTTTCCTGACTGGTAAGAAACATTTCATAAATAAGTAGGCTCTCTATATGTTAGATAGGGAAGATTCTAGGCTTAAGATGATGATTATAGTCTGGTAGTATCAATGTTGTGATTGTGATCCGTGTGTCTCGTGTAGCCTGGTCTTATGCGAAGGGCTGGCTGGGCCCAAGTTCTTGTCGCATCTGGCGTGAGATTAAATGCTTGCTCTTTCATGGAAATTCTGTAGTGCTGCATCCTTTTGAAAGGTTGCACTATAAAGTATAGAATGGAAGGTCTTTCGAAAAAGTAAGCAAGTAAGTAAGTAAAGTACTACTAGACTAGTAAACTATGGTATATTTGACTATTATTTTTTAGTATTAGATGCAAGCACATACTGTACATACAGTAGTACTTTAAATCTTGTATTAACAGGTAGGAAAGCTGTGTTGAAAAACACATTCTCAACAACTAATAAATCTGGAAGTGAACTTGCCAGGTTTCTTCACAGCAAGATTAAGTTGTCTGGCCCCATATCAATTGCACAATATATGAAGGAGTGTCTCACCAATCCCAGATATGTAAGTTAACCACTTTCTCTATTCAGCTTATGTTTCAACAGGATTTAGAAACACCAGCCCTCCCCATCCTTTTTCAGTTTTGAACCCCTCTCTGGTTGTGGCATTTAATGCTTATATACAGGTGAATTAGAAAATATTACAGACTGGATTTTAAATATATATTGTATGCTTCTGTGTTGATACTCTTCATAAAAATTCATGTGTTTGTGATTGCCAGGGATACTACATGCACAGAGATGTCTTTGGTCGAGATGGAGATTTTATAACTTCACCTGAGATCAGTCAAATGTTTGGAGAGGTAAAGATCAATTATTAATTAATTCAAATCAGTGGAATGTTTTGAGAGGTTAAGCCTAATTAATAAATACAAGGTTGACCTAAATAATATACTTAATACCCTGTCATTTTCTTTTCCGGTCCAAATGCAATATATTCTTCAAACTGTCCAATGCTATAGTATACAAATATTGACTGCTCATGAGGAGAATGGTGAAATCTATTGCCCCGAGGGAATGTGGAGACCGTAGCCTATCTTCCCGATGGCCGAAAGCTCGAGGGAAGATAGGCTACGGTCTTCACATGACCAAGGGGCATAGATTTCACCATTCCCCGAATCTAGAGCAGTCAATGGCCGTATTCGACTGGTCATTTTTCGTTAAACCACAGCCATCTGGGCAGTGGTAAAATCCTACTTAACGAAGATGACCAGTCGAATAGAAACTGGCAAATACTCGACAAAACAACTCTCTACTATTATACTAGCTAGGCAATCAAAGAGTGTGTCTAGCTCTTCTTTGCTTATTTCCTAAATTTCAACAGCACCCATCGTCTTGCAATATTACATATTTAATTTTTCTTATGGTGCTTTTCCTATCAGCTGCATTAAGAAGTAATGCTAGGCCCAGGCTAGTTCTTCTTTATCTCAAACCGACCAGCCTCCATATTTTTTTATCGTCTACTCGCTGATCCGTGACACACGGACAAGGGCCAATCTCGTCGTAAAGGTCGCAGTCTCCTTTACCATCAGCAGCATGATGTTAACTGGGCCTAGAGTTTGCACATCGCGACAGGTCAATAAAGTACAATTTTTCAGGGAAATAGTACTTTCTATTGCCCGCTTCTTAACCAATCAGATGCTTAGGACTATGTGATTACAATGAGAACTAAACTACTATTACCTGGTACTATAAATAAGAAAATATTACACAATGTCTTTCTACAATTGAATTCTATCTTATATCATGAATGAGTGGAACCACATTGCTTATCTCTTTTGTATTTTTCATGCATATATAGCCATTGTTGCTTTGTATTTTTCCAAAAACATTGAATTGATTATAATATGATAATAATGATAAAAGAAGTAAACTGAATAGTTTGTTGTATTTGCAGCTTATTGGTATCTGGATATTAAATGAGTGGATGCAAGCTGGTAGCCCTCCAAGGTTACACATTGTTGAGCTAGGCCCTGGAAGAGGAACGTTAGCTGAGGATGTACTCAGGGTAAGGGTTAGCTAGAATTTAGAAGCATGGTTAGTATTATTAAATGTTATACTTCGTTTAATATTATTGTTATTTCTAAAACTTGTTTTATTATTTTATTGCAGGTGTTTTCTAAATTTAATCATCTTGTGAAAGATGTATCTCTTCACTTGGTTGAGGTCAGTCCAAAGATGAGAGAGCTGCAAAAGGCTAAACTATCAGGTGCAGGGAAGGAAGAACACAGAGGAAATATGGGGGCAGGGAAGGGAGAACATAAAATCTTGGAATCTCCTTCAGAAGAAATTGTCAGTAGATTTGGTATCCCTGTTACCTGGCACTACAACTTAAATGATGTCCCACGAGGTATAGTGAAAATACTGTGAACACCAACAACCATTTACAAACAGGACCCAACCCCAGTACATTTGTCATGTTATATGTCAGTAGATAACTGAGTGATGAAACAAAACATCCATACTGATAGGTTAAATACAAATAATATGTATTTCAGATTTAGCCCTCCACAGTGCAGTTAGATAAATTGACTGCAGTGCATTAATTTATATTTTTTTATTTAATTTTTGTTTCACATTCTCTACCATTGCTTGTGTTGTGTAGGCTTTTCCTGTTTCATTGCTCATGAGTTCTTTGATGCATTACCAGTCCACATTTTTCAGGTAATAAAATTATATTTTTGGAAAACTGTTACTTTTTTTTTTCTTTTACTGAAATCATTAATCTATTAGGGACAGATTTACTTTAAGAAATCCACAATACAATACAAGAACAATGGATGTCTTATATACTGAAAAACCTAAAACAGAATATAAGAAGTTTAACTTACCATGGTGCTAAGTTATGGAATAATTTAATTGATGAGTATAGAAATTCAGCAAATATTAATAAATTTAAAGAAATCATTAATCTAATCTAACTTCTGATATTAAATTAATCAATATATTTATATAATCAATTACTGTATGTATATTAAATTAATTAATGTATATGTTTTTGATTTATTTTAAACTAAAGATACTATTTAATTTCACATTTTAATCACATTTATTACTTAATCAAATTCTTTATTGCTTATACTTTTGTTATGTATTTTGTATTTTTATATTTTACCACTTTTGGCCTTGCACGGCCTTGAAGAAAAACACCCTTGGGTGATCAAGTTTTTCTGTGTTTAAATAAAGTAATTATTATTATTATTTAAGGTACTTTCTGTAGTAACTTTTTTCTCCATTTTTAAAAATTTTTTTATTTCTGTGTTGTGATTTGCCAATAGAGATCTGAACGTGGCTGGAGGGAAATACTAGTTGATATTGATGAAGATGGTGGACCACATGGCCTACGATTTGTGCTGGCACATGCAAAAACTGCATCATCTGTTGTGTATATTAATGTATGTTATCTACTACACACGATTAGTGGAGATTATTACTCTACTAGATATATACTAGATAAAGTGAATACATGTCATACACTGGGCCTATTAATTCAAATTACCTCATGATGAGATAGACATATGAGTGATTTGTTTATATATTTAGGTATACGGGCCAATAGTAAATCACTTAACGTAAACAGTACCAATGCTAACAGGGAATCAGGAGGGAATTTCCTCTCGTCAGTCAAACATGGGCCCTCCCTACAGACTAAAAAATTAATTTTCCAATGTAATCAAAGTAACTGCAATTGCAGTTCTAATATATATTTGAAATATCTGTGAAATATATCAGAAATTAAGTTTCCAATTCAGTATGAAGTATATTCCATTTTATTTTTCGAATGAAGGAAATCGAGAAAAGAGATCGTGTGGAGGTTTGTCCTGAAGCAGGCGTTATCATTCAAAATCTTGCACAGCGAATAAGAGAAGATGGTGGTTCAGCTTTGATTGCTGATTATGGCCATGATGGTGATAAAGATGATACACTAAGGGTTAGAAATAAAGAAGAGCCATATTCATATTAACAGGAATAATATTGAAAATAGAAACTATTTTTCTTGATAACTATTTACTGTTAATCCATTAGATAGTGTTATTCTCCAGATAGCAAGTATATGTTATGTCAGTGTAGGTAGTGCTTCAGGCAAAATATTTTAGTTTAAAATAACAGTTTTTCAAATACTTTTCTTTATTATCAATAACAAGATACTGTAGTAATATTTTATTTACTGTAGTAATATCTGATATTTTACAAATTAAAAATTATGTTTTGTGGCAGGGTTTTAAAGATCATAAACTACACGATGTCCTATCAGAACCCGGTACTGCGGACTTAACTGCTGATGTCGACTTTTCTTACCTTCGATTAATGTCAGGATTGTCAGGTGAGATGGTACATTTACTAACCTGGGACCTTCTGCCATCTATGCACACGCCTTAAATAACTAAGTTTACGCCAATAAAGCAATATTGTTATATCTTTATACATGTGTGACAGACAAAAAATACACAATAGCGCCCTCTATAGTTGCTAGTGAACGACAGCAGAGCATCCAAGATTTTTGCTGTTATAATTTGTACAAGGTACCAGACTTTCTATAATGAAATAATAAATTAATAACCGAGAATTATTTTCTGTGCAATAATAATGTGATAATTATGTTAACACTATTCAATTCAATTCAACTTTTATTGTCAAACACAGTGAGAACATGGTTTGAAATTCTTCTTGTTTGTTCACAGTTAAAATGTAAGTTAAAACAAGACACAAAAGATAAAATCACAGAGGAAACAGCAAAACAATAAAAGTCTGCTAAAAGGTTAAAATGGCTAAAAAGGCTAAAAACATTAAAAAGGGGTTAAAAAATATACAATATACGTATGTATATTTCTAATTTCTAATGTTCATTTCATTCATCTTAAATAAATTATCAATTTATTTCGTTGTAAAGATTGTGAACTGTTTAATTCAATATTAAATCTAGTGTTTCAAATATTGAATTTCATTATCAAGTTTATAAGCTGTAACTTGAAATTAATCCTCTGAAAAGTACACATGATAAAAACTTTACATTTCATGTTTATCTCTTTCTTTTCACATGCAACTTTTATCGATCAACTGAACTATAAATTATTCAAGTTGACACGTATGGCCCTATAACCCAGAATTATTTCCTACGCAACATGGGAATTGAAACACGATTGAAAGTAAGTAGCTGATGATAGTTTTTTGCAAAAAAAAAATTAATACATAAAATATGCCTTGACTGATTAAATTTTGATGTAGTACTTACAATACAACTAGTCACATGATTTTTATATTTTTAACAGGAAGATTTTTTGGCTGGCTCACAAAAATTAAAGACCTGGTAAAACAAATATCAACTATAACCTTCGAGCTCCTAGAATTCAAGTTGCCAAAAGTCAGAACAAAGTGGTCCCGTGACTTCATTTTAAATCATGGGGTATTTGCCAAGTGGTGAAGTCTTCCTCCGCGAGTTCCCCCCGCCTCCCCTAAAAAAAAGTATTAATTACTCAGTATAATTGTTTGTTTGTATATCTCCCTTATTTATGCCCTTTAAGCTTTGTGCATTTCCCATTTTTATTTTAATGTTGTAATGTGTCCTCCTGCTTTCTTATTTTAACTAATTTAATTGGAGTATTGGTGCTGTATCACTTTGCTTATGATTGAAAATGTAAACCAAGAAAGAAAAAGGGAAAAAAGAAATAAGGAAAAAAAAAAAAAAGAAATGAAATGAATTATGGGAAATGTGCAATTTTCTCCTACTATTAAGAAAAAGTATGCTTATGAAATTCAATTAATTTTTCTTTTAAATTTGTTTTATATTGTAATGATGTATAAATACAAAATTGTTTTGAATTGTGAACGCATATGTAAATATTGGTACAGCATAAGATCAAAAAAATTTAATTGGAGTATTTTAAATATTTTAAACATTTTTAATATTGTTATTTTAAATTATTCTGTACATTTCAAATTTTCCTTAAATTTGCAATATAGTTATTTTGAATCTTGATACACTTACGGGACCAATCTGATGCATAGTTAAAATATGAAATGTTGGATTAATTCTGTGGTTTGGTGGTTACAGTGTTTGCCTTCAGAGTATCAAATGTAGTTAATCTTGTAAGTTTTGAGTCACTCAATATTGAATGGAAATGCAATATGAGGCAAGTAATCAGCATTAGAATGTGCCAGTATTGTATACTTAAGTACAGAGGAGCCGCAATATTTTAACTTTGGCAATAACTAGTTGATTCCTGTAAATAACCCATCATTTTAAAGCTTACAATATAGAGAATAAAGCCTTGTTCGCACTGGATTTAAAAAAGGGTAACTTTAACCAAAGTCATGGGTACATTTCACCATTGTTCGCACTTGGATTATTCACGCGGTTAGTTTTACCAAGATTTAACCTTGTGTATAACAAATATTATTGAGGGCGCTAGTTTGTGACTTCAACTTCCGGTTTTGTTCGAGCAGTGTCAACATGGAAGAAGTTTTAACCGTGTTGCACGTTCGGATTGGACTTCTTGACCAGCGTGGTTAGTTTAACCGAGACCGTGGTAAGTTTTACTGGGCAGGCTGAGGTCGGTAAAATTAACCGTTCGGCTTGGTTAATTTAACCCTGAGGGAATTGTAACCGACGTTCGGATTGGATTTTTTTTGGTCAATTTAGCCAGTGACTCGGTTAATTTGACCAAATTAAGTCCAGTGCGATAGGGGCTTAAGAATACAGTTGAACTTGCTTAAGTTAAATAAAAAATGCCATTGAAATATTATTTGACTTCAGATTGTTAATTAATGGAAAACACAACAATTTGGCATGTAACATTAGATCGACTTTATTTGTCTTAGGCAAGTTTAACTGTATATTAAACAGTCACTTTTCATTTTTTTTTTTTTTTGACACTGATGCTGGTTTCGTGAAGGCAAGCCTCATGTATTACATAATTCCTACACTTTGATAAATATGAAGAAATGAAAAAATTATTTTATCTGCAGGTACTGATGGTAAATGCATCTACACAGCAACAAAAAGATTTGGTGTCCGGGTTCAAGATGCTCACAGATCCAAAAGAAATGGGAGAAAGATTCAAGTTTTTTGCGATCAAACAATGTCTAACAGACAAGAAAATAAATGGACTTGTACCGGCTGGCTTTTGTAGTTTAACATGATCTTACAATGATCCCAGTTCACATCAAATCATCATTCTAAATATTGGCAGAAAAAAAAACCACACCACATGATTGTCATCTGATATTCAATATATTTCAATGGGTAAAAGTACTTTAAAGCATCACATCATTAAAAGAAACAAGTCATTGGGCAGCATACCACCACCGCTCTCAATTAATTCATGAATATTTCCAAACTACTGACGTCAAACACCCCCAAAAGATATAAAATCTGTTTGTAAAGGAAGATTGTAAAATTGTTTACTATTTGTTTTTAACTATCAATATTTGCAAATTCTGTCTTTTTTTTCACTATACAATGTTAAAGCTTTATTCAGGCTGTGCAAATATCTTAAACTTAATCCTGCATACTCCCATGAATATTTTCAATTCATTACAATGTTTTGTCTTAAAGCGTGTTAAAAAGTAAACACAAGAATGCTGACTGCATGTTGTTACATTGTTTAGCAATGCTACAGAATTTATATTGCATAATGCAAGGTAGTAAACTTGAATACCCATTGTTTACCAGATATCAAGCTGCCAGAAAAACTTTCTTTCCCACAGTGCTCAAGCACTAAGAAAAATGGAAAAACTCATTCGATGTTATGTTCCTAAAGGTTGGGAAGGGAGAAATCTTGATTGCTTGCTATGTATCCAAGTTACAAGTTGTTGGTGAGGGGAGAGGAACTGAGACAGGAGACCAATAACACAAGCAATGTAACCAACATCGGATTCAAACCCACAACCAATAATATTGGAATTACAGCTGCACAACAATTCTTGTACTTCCCAATTCTTCAGATAATTAATGTAATAATGACTAGCAAAATTTGTTGATGAAATTTCTGTGTTGTGCTTTTGGGAGATTGAAATACTTGCGTATAATTTGCTCAAGCTGCGTGTCAACTAATAAAATGCCAACTCACAATAGACCGCGTCTTGTTAACATTTCTGATCGTCTTCATTAATCAGCATTAAAAATTGATGCATCATTATTAATACTTGTTAATCACGTTGCCATGTAATTGATACACATCTTCCTTTTCACCTGAAGTAAAATTTGACTTCACTTACTCTATACTGCCCTCTAAAAGTTTGTAACATATGCAGTAATGCTATCTCTCCTATTATATTTTAGCCTATTTTGGACCACAATTAAATAGCTTAATAAATATCTTTTCGATAAACCTTATTAAAATTTACAATTTTTTTTTCCTTTAAAATACCGTATCAACATTACATAATAAATGGTTGAGGTTAAAAACAAAGCATTTACGACCTAAAACAGCACCAAACAGTGGCAGATCCAGGAATTCGAAACAGAGGGGGACCAGGGAGCAATTTTCACAGGACAGTCTGGGTCTGGACACTTCAGCACCAACCATGGTAGTAAGAAAAATTATAATTAAAGGCAATTCTAGATGACCGGAACTGGCACTCCCAGACTTACATTTGAGTATTATTTTCTTTTTTTCTCTATCTTTTTCTAAATTTAAAAAAATTTAAGATGGGGGAGGGGGAGTCGGCCAGCTGGGCTTAAATCTACCAATGCCTAATGCATGACTCTCTACTCTGATGGTGTAAGTGGGTCTGTAATGGTTTTTTTGCAAATGTGTATAGATTTCTAATAATTATTGGCCTGCTCGTGAATTCTGAAAATTTCTAGGATTGTCCCAAATATGGGTAATCATTTTTACTTTCCTAATTTGAGTTTCTGAAATTTATATAACCAATCATTTTTTTAAAATTTATTAAGAAATTTATTGTAATACACATGAACTAATATTAATAACCTCAACTACAATAAGCACCCTAGTTCTTACACTAAAGTCTCTTGCAAGTCGAGGTAGTCTCCTGGAAATCGAGACAGACTTCAATTATTGTCAGTTGTCTCCCCGAAACAAGTAAATCAACAGGTTTCATCAGACTACTGAATGGGCCAGCTACTATTCTAAATACATTTTATTTAAATTTGCTTTTCTTCTTGCCTTTACGTTCATGAAACTGATTTGTTTTATTTTTTATAGATTTAACCAGCATACTAAGTTCTTCCTTGTCACCTTTCTTTGGCTTTGCATCCTCGTTTGCACCCTCAATTTCAAATGCTTTTTCTTTATCACCTCTTCGTTTCTGCTTCTCCTCAATCAGAGCTTGCATTGCCTTTGTCCGTTTGAAATGCGGATCAGAAGGATCAATGGCAAAATGATGGGAGGTGAAAACTGCACTAAATCGTGGATCCTTCACATCAATTTCAAAATCATCTTGGAAGGGAGCGCTCTTTATCTTCTTTTTTTTTTTCTTCTTGAGCGTCTGTTCATTTTCAAGAATGGCATCTAGACTGAAATGCTTTTTGCCATCATCTTCATCTTCCATAAGAAGCAGTTCCAACTCGGCCTATTCATTAAATAAAATAAAAATTTTTTGTCACATTTAGCATTCCTAAAGATCATGAATATAAGAAATACAGAATTACAATGGCTCACATAATATATTTTGGAATTTTTTTTTGGGGGGGGGGTTTAACAAAATTTTAACAAACACATATCTAGAAAGAAAACTTAGTTTAACTTTAGTATTGCATGAGGCTCACAAGTAGCTAAGACTACAGTTAGTCCTCCTATTCTTGTCAGACCAGATGATAGCAACAAATACAGTACTTGGTATTCTTAGATAAATCTAAAAAGTAGTGACTCATTTTGTAAAAATCATTTTCAATTTTTACCCTTTTTCTTTCTTTTTCTTCCAATTCCTCAGGTTTCATATCCTCCTCCTTTCTTTTCCTCTTCTTTCCCTTTGGATCTATAAATAAAAAAAAAACAAACAAATATGCAATTATTAGTAGATTTTCTAAAATCTAATTTACATATTCAAATTATTATATTATTGTTGATGACTAATAAATAAACAGTAATGACATGGGAGTTTGCAGTATAACATGATTTTTTTAAACAAAGTCTTTATTTTTAATATTCATAGTAAAAAAGTTTGTAGTAAATAAAAATGTTACACTGTATTCATCATTGAAAGTTGATACATATCCTTTTAAATATGCAATTCATTGGCTTAATTGAGTACTGAAGGTTTGTTCCAGTTTTTATTACAGACATCATAAAGTCATAATATATTTGAAGTGAATACTCAAGTTAATTGATATTACAGCTTGTTATAAATAAATAATTAATCATGACGTACATTGTTAGAAGATCAACAGAAATCGTCATCCCAATAGTTAGTTATTACATACTCATTATTGTCTATTAATTTGAAGTTACATCAAATTCATTGCTTTCTATCTTGAACATAATCACCTACGCACAATTCTTTCTTTGTCAGGGCGCATCTGTTGCTGTCTCGGTGTCTGTGGCTGAATAGGGCAGAGTGAATGGCCTCAAGCCATCGCCACACCGACAATGAATAGTAAAAATATCAGCAAACATACACATCTCAAGTACACATTTAATCAAAGGGGTATTTTTTTCTAGGAAAATTTAATAAGATGCTCGTACATAATTGAAAATGGGAAGATTACAGTAAAGATGCATGGGAACAAACATTGCAGTCCTCAGACTTGCGAATACTTGTCTCATAGTTATGACAATTAAAATTTATGCTATGTCCTAGATTTTTCATAATTAAACCTTTGAAAAAAAAATAATTCACTTGTACTATTGGATACAAAATTTTTTTTTTTTTTTGGTTTAAATACAAACAATCCAATATGCTTGTTAGAAAACAGTTGGCAGAAAACACAATTAGTAAACAGATAAACATTTTCATAGAATAAAACAATTACTGCAAATCTGTCATCTTTGATATTTCCCAAATTTCAGACAAAAAAATTGAAAAAATAATTTTGTTTTCAAATGTTGTGATACCAATGGAATCCAAATGTCATAATTAGCACAATGATTAAGACACGAAATATGAAAAAGACAATTGGAAAAGGTTGCTTCTGATTCTTTAGTTACTTTTGAAGTATATATCTTTTGATTGTATTGACTTAAATAAAATCTGATCAAATTTTTGATAGAATGTATTTCGTCTCAGCTTACCTACCCTTTCTAACATAACAATAAATTTAGCCAGCTGTAAAAAAGATTATCGAAAGCCATTGACGAGACAAACTAGTTGGCATATTTATTTCTCATGTTTATATTAGGTATACCGTATATTACATTATAGGAACGCACTCCTAAAATGAATTAAAACGGACTAGCTGCTGTAGATTACATTATTCCCAAGTTATTAACAATCAGAGTCTCAATTTGGTGCCTCCAGCACCAAATATACAGGCTTATTAGCCCAACAGTTTTGAACTTTTTTTCCCAAAATGCCTCTGGGACATTCATGTTGCCTCTGACCGCCAACCGCCTGTGGCGCACTTTTTTTTCCAGCCCTGGCGTTTAGCAACAATATTGAAGAATCATGAATATACTTTTCAAGTTTTTTCTTTTGTAAAGATGTGATGATTTTGAATATACTATAATTACTTTTCTACACATGTATTTTTTAATGTTTTTCTTGTCTTTTTTTAATGTGTCCAGTTTTTTAATGAAATTTTATTGTAGATGAATGCCTCAGTCAGCCTTTTGGCTGCCATTTGTATTTTGATTGTTTTATGCTTTGAAAAAGAAACCGATATATAAATTAATGAATTAAAAAAATTATTGAAAAATTAATTATACTATAGTAGATATATTTAAATAAAATAGTATTATTTATTAAAATATTCATTAATCAACACACTTAAATAATAATTTAAATATTAACTGTAATAGGTTGTATTATTGTATAATAAATCACATTACATTTAATATTTAAATTATGCAGTAAATATATTTACATTTGTAAAATTAATTCATTGAATAAAACTACTTCTAACTACACCCTTAGTAGTTACTGAAAAAAATATTCAACATTTGTTGGTTTTATAAAATTCTATTGATCTGTATGAAATCTAGGCTTACTGCATAGTAATGTCTTAAGTGTCCGTTCACTTTATGCCAAAGGTGCTTCCTTTTCGACACTCCATTTTTATTGGTGGTGGAAGATAAACAATAAAATATACAATAAAAATAGCAACAATACTGCCATAAAATTTTCAGCTATTAACTCATAGAAAGTAATCACCTGAATTAAATACAAAGGGAGGACTTTCATAAACATTTGAAAGGGATCAACATTAATTGAGCCTAAAGATTTAGTTTCATTTTATCAATAAAAAACAGACAATTTGAAACCATTCTATCTTGTGGAATAATCACAAATTTTACAGCAAAAAGACAAATTTATGCAAAATAAGTTTTTATCTCTGAGCTTAAATGCTCTGTGCATTGAAATTTAATTTACAAGATTCAATTTTGTTAATGCCATCCTCAAATTCTATTTTCCAAATCAGTTTGATTGAATATTAACTGTCGATTAAGATGTTAATTGACTTTTGGTATAATATTTAGAGCTTGAATGAATTAAATTTTATATAATAAAATTCTTGACTTTTCTCCTTGTGTATTGTGCAGTTGAAGTTGTAAGCCCATTGTTAAAATAACAGCTTTGAAATTATTTCACCAATTTAGAGTGTTATTTCTACTTGTATATGTTGTTATAAACAGTAACACCACTGTAACAGATCTAGGGAATATTTTTCCTTTAAAATGCAGGTAAGAATTTGCATATATACACCTTTTTAGCTAAATTTGAAATAAAAATTTCCGAGAACCTGGCAGCTACCACTTGGGACATCCAGATGCCTAGGCATTTTTACTAGTGTTTATCCTGGTTTATCTGTGCTTTGCGACTGGTGCACGACCATGTTGCTGTAGAGGCCTAGGCTAGTCTTTGAAAACAACAGAACATAGGGGCACGCACATAAAGAAGGCACAGATTTTGGTTGTTGAAGTAATCAAAAGAAGATATGTGTCTGGAAGAAGGAAATTTGCTAAGGCTAGGCCGCTGGACGTCCCCCATTGAAAATTTGCGAGACGTTGATAGTGCTGTTTCAAAATAGACCCAATAAAATTGTGTGTAGGTGATGGCCAACTCATGAGCATGGGTTGTAGTAGTGGGTAGCATCTGTAGATCCCACGAAGAGAACATACGGAAAGGTAAAGTCGGAACTTCAGCACATAAGAAAAATTGTGGTAGGCAAAGACATATGAGCGATAGCTACTGTATGCAGCTTGCTGAAGAGATTCTGAGAATCGTCCGGGTAAACAGGATTCATATGGGTGAGGAGAATCAAAAATCATCCAGGCAAACAGGATTCATCACGGCGAGTCGAGCGGCAAGGCAGGGGCGCCGCTAGCTACAGCCTTAACATCGGCGTTGGTTCCAGCCACTGCTCGCCCATGGTTCGGTTGGTAGAACCAAGTCTTCTCGGATAAGGACTTAAAATAGAGGTCCAGTGTATACTTCTGGCTCGTGTGCACTTTAAAGAGCCCATTGCATCTTTCGGAAGAGTAGGGGGTTACTCCAATGTTATGGTTCATTTCAGCCCCTGTCGTTGTGGAATGATGTGAACATGTATCTACCAGCCTCTTTACGGCTGATAGATAGTCACGGACCACGCCCATACGCAATTCAGCACAATGACGCTGCAAGTTATGGGTTATTCTCCTACCTTTACCTTTACCCCTTTACCATCTGGGTCAGAAGATCGTGATCATGTCAGTTGCAAAAAGTACAAAGTTTCCTCCAAGAAGCAAACTCCTTATTTTTGGATAATAATGCCGAAGCAATTTTAACTCTTATTCAAACATCTGTATGTTTTATGGACCTTTCTATGGTGTTCTTTCTAGTTGTTAGATCGCTGAATGGTGTTGTTTACATGCACGTGTGCAATCTGACTTTTCTTACGGTAATAATTGGTCGATGATGATGTAATCAGGGGCAAAGACCATTCGTAATATCGTATATTCATAAAATGGACGTTCGTAAAATGGACGTTCGTAAAATGGACATTTTACTGTATAAAATAATACATCAGAAAACCTTTGTTTATACACTGCAATATATAAAAGGTTAGCAAATTCAAGCAGGAGGCACTGGTATCGTGGACATGAATTTTGTTTGATGAAAGCTATCAAATACAAAACTTTTTCAAAAATTATGGACAAGAAACACATTCTATTTTTTGGGCCTTTACAACAATCACAAGTTTTTGCATGGAATGTCCACATTACATTATTTCAGAGAGAATTTTCCCATGCTGGATAAATGTTTCACACACACAACTGGGTGAAAATAGACCTAGCAGATGAAGTAACTGATCAACATGCAAATGTGAACGACCCACATAAACTCCTTGTGCATAACGACCTCATTCTTCTCACTGCGTCTGTATAAAAAGTACAATTTGTTATAAATGGACTCATTCTATATTATACAGGTGCGAATAAAAAGTACATCGTGGCAATCGCTCTGGTCATGTTACAATCTGCCTACTGTTTTAAATCTTCTAGCGGTATCTTGGGAGTTCTTGTAGGTAATAAAACTTCCTAAAATAATTTTCTTTTTATCGTATTTACAGCAATATTAGGAGTGCATTACAGAATATAGTAAATGTCTCCTAATAGTTTTATTGTCGTATTTTATGTTTCAGTTTTGCCTAGCAGTATTGTCTTCATTCTTAATCCCAAGAGATGGCAATTTAAAGGGTTGAAAACGTATTTACATTTGGTGCTTCATAAACTCTTTAAATGTTATTACTGAAATAAAATGTTTCCTGCACATCATCTTTTTTTTTGTACAACATGATATAAGCACAATCATGAAACATGTGAAATGTAAACATTCATTGATTGAAACAAGTCTGCCGCTAGAAACCATGAACCTGGAACTGTGTTTCAAAACAACAAATTAAATTTTTGTGATTTGCAATGTATATTACTTCACTAGAAACAAATCACATGACACAAGTTGATGTTAGAGAAACACAATTAGGGATTTGAACATAGCACCTAGGATTGAAAACTCTTTCATGGCCACTAGTCGGGGCTTAGCCTTGGCTTGGGCTAGGCTAGGCTAGGCTGGGCTACACTCCTTTATCATTATAAGGCCAGACTTCTTTATACCTTGTTTTGCGAACCAGGCGACTGCAAATATTGATGATTTTCAAATAAAATGTTTATTTTTGGCCAATTAGTGCATTCACCGCCACCAAAAAGTGGAAATTTCAGAAAAAAATAAAAGTTTTTCTTTATTTTTATTACGCCCTCCGCTGCCGTGAAATCTCCAAAGATAAGTTATGTATATTTCTTTCTAATTATATAAATTTGAAGCATTTAACCATCCTATTTTACATTCACCAATAAAATTTTATTTTCATTTTCCCCTCCGTCTTGATGTTTTTGGCAAAACTATTTGCTAAATAAGAAAAAAAAAATTTATTTTCATTTTTATTCCACTTCCCCCCCCCCCCCACCCCCATAAACTTTAACACCGATGATCTTTAAAAAAATAAGTACGCGAAACAAGGAATAAAAAAGTCTCGCTTAACTATGTATTGGTGCATTTACTTACTTTTTGATTGACACTTTTCTGTTTCTTTGCAATTTTCTCCATCTTCTTTTCCTTCCTTTTCTTCATGTATTTTTCCCAAGGTGTCAGCTGCTCTTCCTTTTCAGTCATTTTTTTCTTTACTAATGCTTCAGTTGCTTCCTTTAAGCCTATTTAAAATATTTTAAAAAAATATCTTAATACTACTGTATATTCCCAAGCATAAGCCCATGCTCATGCATAAGCCAACTTTCTAGTTTAAACTAGGGGTCATCCACTTTTTTCGTAAGAGTACAAAACATAATGCTAGCAAGAGGGGATAAAAGTGTATGTAACATGAAAAAAAAAATCATGATCTCAAAATGACAACAATCATTTTATTATGTACTCATTAAAGCTATGTCCATGCTATCAAATTTTATTTGACAAAAAACTGTTTTATGCCCATATATAGTCATGATGTACCTATACATAGTAATAATGTGATGTCATCATGACCATATTTAGGCATATCACATGTTTTGTCAAATAAAGTTTGATAGCATGGACAGGGCTTTAGGGGGAGGGGGGAGTCAGCAAAAAGAGTTTAAAAAAAAAAGGGAATGACTTCTAAATTAATTGGTAAGAAATGATTCGCACCTGATTCCCATGATACTTCCATTTCCATCTCATTCGTTTCCGGGTCTCTCTTTTCCTTTTCATTCACTTCCTTCAGAAGACTTCTGTACTTTGCTATTTGGTCTTCATCATTAGAACGAGCGACTCCTTTCTCAACTCCGGATATATCTTCCTCATCTAATATGGATAAACAATGAGTAACTTGGATAATAACATATAATAATTTCATTTCATTTATTTGTCTCAAACAATTAAAATGTACATAAACAGAAACGGCAAAGAACAATCACAAAAGTACAAAAAAAGAGACAGGACACTCCAAAAGTAAAATCAATCACTGTCGAGTGGAGGCCCTTTTTAATCTGTCTTAAATGGTTGCATTTCCTATCCATTTGGTTCCACCATGAGACTTGGACAGTTTTTCTACTATGCAGATACAGAAACCACTTTTCAGCATTTTTTAAATATAATTAAGAACATTTTTAACTAATTGTCTTATTGACTACACTGTCATATGACAAATCTTAATGTATACAGTAGAACCTCGATTTTACGTAAGGTACGGGACCGGAGGGCGTACATAAATCGGGGGATTCATAAAATTGAGGTTGAGTTAAATTTGTGGTGACCTTTGACCTAATATGTACGTAACACTCAAAAAATGTATGTTATCAACGAACGAACGGTTACCTAGGCCTAGACTAGATGTAGCCTCTAGGCCTACTAATAAAACCATGTGTTTAGTGTTTTTATTCATCACTTTACAATGTCCCATGTGTCTAGTGTATTAATTCATCACTTTATATCTTTTATTTAACTGAAGAACATGAAAATATTGTAAGATTACCTATTGTATACGACAAAGGTATAACTTGGGAATTCCCCTTCATGTCTATTCTTTAAACAACAGAGCTGTGGTGTTGTCTGGGCCTGCTGAGACAAACTTAAAACCATGTGCACTGCACTGGGCGAACCAACCAATTAGCATTCGTGTACGTGAAACAGCAACCACGTGCACAGCACTGGGCGCGCCAACCAATTAGCTTCGTGTAGAAAAGTCGATTAGACGAGTTTTCCACACAAAGATAAGGAGGAAAGCAATAATTTTGAGCACCGTCGCGACGTGTCGGTAGTTGTTCATCTTGCTCAGGCCCGTCGTTTTGGGTTATAACAACCCAGTACCGTTGCTGTTTAATGAAAATATGTTGCTTATTGTTTGTTTATTGTTATAGTATTGAATTAATAAGCAGACATAAAGTAACAAATCCCTTTTTACTTATGGTTGCTCTGGAAAAGGGCTGTTTGTTTTGAATATTTTCGGGGTTTTTGATGACGTCATCGTCGATACGAGGCATACGTAAAACTGAGGGTTCGTATAACTGGGGTATGTAAAAACAAGGTTCTACTGTAGATAAATTATAAATAAAGTTGTAGAAAAATATAAAAAACCAAGAGCAAATTAATGAACAAGCAATTAATGATAGGCAATATAGTTATTATTTTTTCAGGACTGTGGCATTGATATAAGCATTTCAATTGCCTTGTTTGGTCTCATTTAAGTCTTCCTCCAAACATCCATTACAAAATGTTCTGCAAGTATATATATTACAGGTCAAAGTTCATCAATAACACATGCAAAACAAACCTTCATCATCATCACTGGATGCGATGAGCATTTTCATATCCTGATCATTGAACTCGTCATTTTCAAATGCTTGCTGCATAATCCTCGTTCGTTCTCTATCAGTTTCGTCCCATGTTAACTCAACTTTTGATTGGTGTAGTGCGGTCGTTTTGAACTTTGACGGTTTGTAGGTTGTCATGTCACCAGCATCCGTTATATAACTTGTGGGCTCATGGTCAAAAGTAACATCATCTGGGATAAACCTGTTAAAATTAAATAATAAATATAATATAATAATGTAAACATTTATATAGCACTTATTACACAGGTGTTAGAAACAAGATACTACACAAGGCATCTGCAGGGTCCCACAGCGAATGAATATACAGTACTTTGTAAAAAGTTATTCAATGTATTCAATAGTTTCATTTGAGTAGCTGGGAAAATTTACAGAAGCCTCTGCCCAACAGCTACAGTCCCCCATCCCCCTCCCATATCCCCATGGTGAAGGATGAAGTACACTGTTTAGTGAAGTTGAATTGTGTATCGATCGGCAGCATATTCCAAATGGCCGGAATGGTATGGAAAAGGAATAGTGTGTTACATTGTGCAAAAGGAACACGGAAGGTTGAGAACTTTGCTCTTTTTGGTTTTAATTGTTGAAATGGTAGCCTTCGTTGTGATACAGAGAACTATTTGAATTCACCTTTTGCGCTTGGTTACTTCAGGGCAGTTATGTCATCTGTATGCGGTATTAAATCAAAACATTTGGATACCGCATAGTGAAGCTGTATTGTAAAGTGTCATCTGTATGCGGTATTAAATCAAAACATTTGGATACCGCATAGTGAAGCTGTATTGTAAATTGTCCTCTGTATGCGTTATTAAATCAAAACATTTGGATACCGCATAGTGAAGCTAAATCATGGTCAGACTTTGTTTGCTAAGTACTTTATTTGAGAATATAATATTTAAAAAAAATCAAAAGCTAGTTTATACTATATAGCTGACTTTTATGATATTTTATCACTGTACATAATTAAAAACAAGTAACAACATTAAAAATAAAGTTGATTTTAAGCTGTGGTTTTAGGCTTGAAATCATACCTTGTGCAATGCTATGCTAGCCAATTGTATTATTTAGTTCTGCACAATCCACAATCCTACAAACACTTCCCAATTTAGTATTTTTATGACTATAAACTACAGTATATTATATATTATATTATATTTCATAATTCATGACTAATTATTAAATGGAAATTGTTTACTTTGATCACCAAGACAAATGAATGTCTCAGGACAATCCACCTGGCAGGCTAGGCATACAGTACACGGGCCGCCGCTGCACACAATCAATCACCTTAGTCAGTTAGGGTGGGTTATTAATATTAAGTTTTATTTGATTTTGAAACGTTATTTTCTAGTGTAACATTCAAAAATATTGTTTGTGGTGCTAGACGTTTCTTTTGGCTATGAGTATAATTCCAACAAGCCTTAAGAATCCTTTCTAGGTCCATGTCTGTGTGGCCAGCAGCAGCTACAGCAGCTGCCTACTCTAACTGTAGGCCTATCACAGCGTCCGTGAACATTTCTCTTAATATTATGTTCAGGCTTTACCATCGATATCTTTCATGCCGTTTCCTGTCCAATGTTCTAACATTTATTAGTAATTTGGTTAAAGAAATTTAACGTTAAATGTACATAAACAACAATTATGGTGTCGTTTAACAACAGACACATTCAGCAAAAACAGTCGCCGAGCTGCTATCTTTACAATGTATTAACTCTAGCGTTCAAAACAATAACAAAGCAAGTACCGCATGCAGATCACGTGACTGATCAGACGCAAAAGGTGAATTGTTGAATGTTAGTACCACAGTATTTAAAGATGTATTGTCCCATACTAAATACCAAAAAAATCATAAAAATATTTTTTGAAATTAACTTGCCCATTTTGAAGTAACATAAAATTTATCAAATTAAACATAGAAATTAGTGTACAATATTAAAAAAATATCTACCTATCAGTTTACAGCGAAAAATGATAGAAACACTTCCAGTCACTGGAAGTGTTTTATTATTTTTATTATAATTATTTGGTTTAAAAATCAGGGTACACATTTTTTAAATTCAATAATTTTTATGCACAAGTTAATAATTTGTATGCTATTGCAATATGAGCAAGTTTATTTCAAAATTATTTTTTAATGATTTTTTGACATTAGGAAGGGACAATACATCTGTAATACCATCCTGATCATAAAGAAAAAATAATTGAAAGCATAAGTAATAAATACAGTAATTATATGTAGTAAAAAATGTGCTATATATTATATGTTTGAGTTTCATGCACTGCATAGACTAGCTGCATGTACAGTAAATAAACAATTTCAAATAATTTTATAGTGGTTTAATGTCCATCATATCATAGAGGAAATAGTTAAGACTGAATGATCACACAATGCTTGAATAATGGCATAGGCCTAAATCTAATACCTCCAAGTATAATAAAGGCACTGGGTAAATATCTGGGTAATTGAAGTTTGATTTAAACAAATTTGTGCCCTGTTACCTGAGATCCAGCCTGGTGGAAGTAGTTTCCAGCTCGAGGTTATCGCAATTTTCATATAGGGCAGCGGCTGTCTGAGGCGAGTCGCATTCAACGACAGCATAATAATATCGTAACCTAAAAGTTTGGAATACATCAAAGGTAAAAAGTTGTGAAATGTTCATTTTTATTTATAATATAGCAAAAATACTTGTATATTATTTACACATTAGCAGCAATCAGCAACATTACAAACCTCACAAATATGAATGTGATTTGTGACGCTGATGTTAATTGTTATTATATCTACCACAGCGGTAGTAATGATAGCATCTTAAAATCTTATACTTAGATTTGAATTTCTTAGGACTTAGATTCTTAGTCTATTCTCCAAAATACTGTCAAGTACATTTGGTTAAGAAAATCTCATTATTGTCTTGATGGTCTATTATATCCAAAAAATGGTAATAACCTTTACACATTGTAGCCTTGGAAACTATTGTAGCTTGTTAAAAAAAAAAAACAGGTCTCTTATTGTAAGTGTATCTCAGACACCAATAATAAGTAGTACCACCGACCCTACACTTCAAGGTGTAAAAACAAGGGAAAATTATTCATAGATAATAACTTTTTCCCCAAAAATGATCACAACCCAAGTGCACTAACATGTTTTTAAATAAGGACTAGAAAATGTGACAGTGGAGCTACACAACATTCATTATTGTTTTTCGCACGAATCTGCTTAATCACAATGAAATCACTGCCAATATTCAGGAATGAGGCTCCAGGGAAAATTACACCAACTTATCGAAATAAAGTAGTAAGTACTAAGTACTAATCGAAGAGCAATTACAATAGCTGACAAAATATTCACATAATCAGATGAAAGATCTTTATGTTATCAGTGCCACCTTAATTGAGTCAGCAAGTTTTTTGTTCGTTCTCATTCGCCCACCTTTGCAGCTGATACTTTCGCAGCCTTTCCATCTGTAGTTTCTGTCCTTCTAAACTCTCACAATCTATTTCTTTGCCGTCGTCTTGGAGAAGTTCGACTGGTCCATGTTTGTCTTCCTCTTCCAATTTCTTGAGACCAAATTCAGAGGGATATATCTGCATGACAAACACATTGTTTACTTTTGGATAATTAATAGTTAATTTGAATTATATTTAATAATTAGTGAAACAGTTTATCTGGTTAAATTAGCTAAGTTCATAATTAGATTTAAACTACAGTTAGTCACATTTAATAAATGAAAAAAACTAATCAGTAAGTTAATATAGTTAAATACTAATGGCCCTTTCACACATTCACGATTTTTGCTACAATAAAGCACAAGTTTTAAAAGTTCTAAAATCATGCTCTACCGTACTGATTCATACGCAACAAAATCAAGTCCAATCAAATTTTACGTTTGGTCAAGAAGCTATCAGGACGCTGACAAATGTATAACGATTAAGACAAAGGTAAAATTGTATTACGAAATCACTCCGATTTCACAAAGATGAAAGCACGGCATCAACACAATTTGACAAGTCAACTGTTTGATTCAACTAATCACATGACAAAAAAGTTGCAATTTACGTATGTTGAATGTTGTCTTCACCATAGTTGTTGATATTTCACCATGTTCAAAAACCTGCAATATATGCAAGCTGCTGCTCTAGGTATTGTGGCCACTACCAATGAGTGCGAATGCACAAGATGTTACGACACACTCCCCGATTGTGCTGCGGTAGACCAAGATTTTTTTCACAGCTATAATTGAGCACTATTTTTTGCATTTCAAAAAAAAAAATCAGGCTCCATCGCAATAGCATCAAGATCTAGTACAGTGCGCTACGGTGAATTGTGATTGACCACAAAATTAGTATGACGTCACTGCAATTTTCAAAAATTGAAAAATCATGCTCAATCATAGCATAAATCATGAATGTGTGGAAGGGGCATTTATCAACCTAATTGATTGAAAGAATTTAGTCAGTTCATAAAATATACATAAAAACAGGTCTGGAAAAAAAATGTTTGTACCTCCGACCATCAAAGTTGTCTCGATAAAATGTCTCCAACACCAAATGTTTTCCGTACACTATATAACCCAAAAGTTTTTTTTTTTTTTGTATTTTTTACTCCCAAAATGCCTCCGGGACAGGCTGCCTCCGGGACAGGCTGCCTCCGACTGCCAGTCGCACGGTCATGAGCTTTTTCCAGCCCTGCATTAAAAAGTTTACATAACAGAACAACATTCAAACACCATGGCAAACAAAGCAGGAAAACAAATGAACCAAGGATAATTAGTGAAAATTTTAGATTCATATTGAAACTAATTTCCATCAAGTCCTAAACTTCTTGTATTTAATCATTGATTGTTTAATAGTTAATTAATTAGGTAGGGTAGGCTAGGTTTTATTGTCACATGTAATTTTTTTATTAGTTTAAAATAAAACATTTTTACTTCATCCAAGGTCTTTTTTTAAAGTTTGTGGTTTGTAAATTGATTTGATGATGAATGAAGACTTGAACTGAAATTTAATTAGTTAAAATATATACATTTGTTGGATTTATGAGAAATACTGTAATTGTTAACTATTAATTTCTGATATTATTGACTATCAATAAACAATTTATGGGAAATTAAAAAATACATTCAATTAAATGGTTCATCATCACTGTTTGTGAGGAATGTGAAGTTAGCTCTTAGAGGTATTCAAAGTTATTCTAATCTGTAAATTGCAAGATAATTTTTTTTTCTGCATTTCAGTTGAAAGCCTAATAAATTATTGAAATTATACACAGACTATTTATCTGACAAGGAGCATGGCTACATATTTTTGGAATTAGGAACAGAAAATTGAGAATGAATGCAGTTTTTGAATGGCGGCGCAAATGGGGTGTGGCTACTGATTTGGAATGAGAAAGAGGCATGCAGGGCTTATTCAATTAAAAAAATGAATGGGAGAAGCATCTAGTTTTAGAATGTGAAAGAGAATTTTTAGAATGAGGCATACAGTACAGACACAAATTACCGCTTCGTATCTGCGCGTAACCTCTCGTAATCTGCTCGTAGGTACGTTTTGAACGTAGCTACGAACCACTATGAAGTTCATTGTTATTTTAATTAGCTTTGCAATGATCGTAGGCTGGATCGTCGGGCTGATAAACAATGCGTAAACAATATTGAAATATAGTTTACCAGCTTTCAACACGTAAGCAATGTTGCAATTTACTAAATAAACAATGTTAGAACTTTATTGTTTTGTTATATATCCTACCTTATTATTAAATCGATCATGTTATAAAACTGTGTTTAGTTCGCTAGCTGGGAGGGTAACCTAGTGGGCATTCAGTATGTTCGAATTTCAATGTCATTTAGGCTTTCGTACGGCCTACATTTTCCCCTATAGAGGAGGAGAGCAGACAATAGTTATACTGGTAAACTTTCCAATTCGGAGAATTTTGATCTGATATTATTCTTCTGCTAGTAGGAATTTTCTTCATTTAAATAATACTGATGACAAATCATGTACAAATTATTATGATTTCTACAGATCACGTTGTTTATTGTTTACCGTAATTTGAAGCAGAACAACCTGCAAAGCGATCCAATACTAAATGGAAGTATAGAAATCACTACCTTGCCGAATTAAGGCTAGTCATGCTAAGACCGCATTTACTCCGTTTTTACTCACTGTTGCTCACAACTTTTCAACATTTGCCACGAGGTTAACCTTTAACACACTTTACTGTGTTCTGATTGGCGTGCACTCTGACTTTCCATTGGGTTTTCCATGTGACATTCGGTAATTTTACAATCAACTGACGTTAATTCTCCTTTATATTTATTATTTATCTTACTAAATCAAGACTACAAAATATATTTGATGAACAATCTTTTCACATGTGTGTATTGTCATTGAGGACATCGTTTTTTGACATTTTAAATGAGGTAAAATAATTTTAAGTAAAAAATAAGCTAGGCCTAGGCTAATTAATTTAAAAAAATAATACTGCAGTACAAACGAGTTCCTGTCGTGGACAGCGAGTGGAAGAGGAGACCCCCATGAAGTCAAGTGTACGTTTTTCTTATTGAAAAACAGCTCCATACTTTAAATTAACGGTCTAAACTCGTGTTTGCCATTCACAAATTATCAAACAATACATTGCTTATTCCAGTAAGCTACAGCAGTCTTTCTGCACATACAAATAAACAACATGCTTTTGCTTCGTAGGTTTGCTTCGCGTAGCCTTGCTTAGATTGTTTATTTTAGGCTACGATGTATCTACGAAGCCTGCGCGCAGGTTAGATTGTTTATATCAGGCTACGATGTATCTACAAAGCCTGCACGCAGGTAAAAGTGCAATATTTCATGACGGTACTGTATGAGGACACATGGAGATGGTCTGTAGCCATGCCCAACCTCCCCCACCCCTAGACACTCTGCTGAGTGGTACTTCTTATTGCAATAAAACAAAGTAATAGATCATACAGTACCTTCACTGATTGTACAAGTCCACCAGTAGGTTTAAAGGAATGGAAAACAGCCATCAGATCAGCAGCTTTTATACGATCCCAATCAGCGTTACAGACTGCAATCCGCCTTGATGTGTCCTCACTCCGGGGAGCATCTGCGTCCAGTTCCCCCCACTCATGCTCTAATTCCTCCTCACTCTCTGATTCTGACTCGGAACTTGATTCTACATTACCCTTCCCTCGAGCTACATCAACTCCTAATGGATCAAACTCTACATCAGAATCGTCAGAAGGATCCATTTCATCTTCATTTGCTAAATTTAGTACATTCTTAGATTGTTTTTTGTTATCTCGTATTGATTTCTTTTGTAATCTTTCTTTCCTTTTCTTCAGTAATTCAATTAATTTCTTTTTATTACTCTGTTTTCCTTTCAAATTTGAATTGGATAATTTTGATGATTTTTTCTTCTCAAGTTTCTTCTTTGCTGAAAATGATTTCTCTTCTGATTGAATCTTGTCAGATTCATCATTTGAATCATCTGAAAGTTCATAAAACTGTTTAAGATTTTCGGAGGAGGACTGGTTTAGTGGACGACCTCGTTTGTCAACTGTGTATTTCAATTTAAATTGTTTGTTCTTGAACATATCTTGAAATCTTTTGTCGATTTTTACTTTACGTTCTTGCTTTGGCATCATCTGAAAACGAGGGTCTTTTCCGATGTGGGAAAACCGTTTATCAAGAGGTAAATCCATTTTTATCTTTATTTAACCTGTAAAAACCAAAAATATCCATTTTAAGAAAATTTTATTACAAGTAAACTGGTGACTTTGGCATCTATATGCTCAAAAACAATTGTTTTTGGTTTACTAAGAAATTTTTTTCACACAAATGGTAATATGAAATAGATAAAAATAACATGTTTTTTTTTTTCTATATGTATTGTACAGTAGTCAAATGTTCCTGAATGTTCCTTTCAGTCGTAATATTTCTAAACATTTTACTTCTCGGTTACCATCTTGCTATACTCATGTTTTAAAAATGGCAATATTGATATTTTTTATAATAGTTTTGGTATTTTTTAAAATCTAATTTTACGTAACATATCCTTGCAATACTGATATTTTTAATTCTACATATAATTTTATATTGTCATAGTTTATCCATCCTGTAAGTGGCGATATATCGCTGTTGGTGTGGAATAAATAATTAAATAAATAAAATCAAAATTGACAAAATTAGGTTTATACTATAAATATTTAGTAGTACTAGTAGTAGATTGCTCACATTGAAGAGCAATAATGCATGTTTATTTTTAATTCTTGATGTGCAGGCCTAAATTGTTTTCGCCATGGCTAGGACACAGTACCGGATCTTAACTTCCGTTTGCTAAAAATACGGTACCTCGGATTATCCAATAAAATGCTGTAACCGATGCTATTGTTGCACTAACGTATCCCATGTTGTGGTCTTACAAAAATACATTTAAACACTATTGTAAATGGGCAATTCCATGGTCACAGACCGACTTTTTAAGGCATTCATAATGGTAAAAAACTGTTTAAATATTACAGATAAACCAGTAAATC